CATATTAGATGAATTGTGATAAATAAGTAAGCCGTACAGTTGATGTTAGTGTCATAAAGTATTTTGTTTTGTCTCCAGAATGCAGGAATGGATTAATGGCTTTTCAATTAATTTAAATGATGAAAATTGATTTGATATATACGAGTAAATTGAGTTACGAGCTAGGTCACGGAACGGATTAAACTCATAAGTCAAGGTTCCACTGTATAACTAAAAGAGTTGGAGTCAGAAGTGCCATAAATAAAGGAGTCAGAGTCGAAGGTTTTATGTGCCAACTCCACAGCCCTGGTCTATACACTTACAACATCTGGCACGGTGCTTCCCTATCCACCCTTTCATATGCCTTTTCCAAATCTGTAAATGCAATGAAAATATCCTTATCCTTATCTAAATACTGTTTTATTATTATTTTTTTAGCAAACTGGCCATATCCTCCCAAGGCAGGGCGACCTAAAAAGAAAAATGAAAGTTATTATTATCATTATTTTATACTTCCCATAACATTTTTGTTGCCAAATTTTCAAGTTTGTATATTCAACTCCAACCTTTATATTATCCTTTGTACCTGTGTACCTGTCTACCATCTTACTATCATATTATAACCAAGACATTACCCTTGTTATTTTTTTACTATTATTCTTTTGTACTTGAATTGTGAATTATATTTTGTCAATTTAAATCTAGTTATACTCCTGATCTTGTCAACAACCTATACCAGACTCTAGTGCAATTGCAAGTACCATTTCAATTTGTATTTTTATATTATAAGTTTGTATTATAATTCCTACTCTGAGATTGTTTTCATATCTTAGTGACTATATTGTGTGTGCAATTAGTGTATATTTCAATTATATTATTGTTCAAGGCCCTTAACTATCTTTTGCTAACTAGTACCAACTACCTCATATATTTTTTTTTCTACTTTTTTTATTCTTTTGCTACCTTAACTTGTATATTTTATCTTGTCAACTTAAATCTAGTTATACTCTAATTCTTGTAAACAACTTATATAACACCTTAGTGCAATTACAATTGAGAGTCTTGTGCCTTTTTTATATTATTAGATTAAACTCAGTTGTACTATAGTCAATACCAAATTCATTATATTAGACCATATTGCAATTACTAGTGAGAGACTGGTGCTATTTTTAATTTGTATTGTTATATTATTAGATTAAATCTAGTTGTACTATAGCTCATTCTAGCTCAAAACATAGACTCCACAAAAGTCATTATATTAGACCTTAGTGCAATTATTTGATTACCACTTTATTGTTCACCACAACTTATATTAATCCCTTTTATATTATAATTTTATATTATAATTCTAACTTTAAAGAATTACCTTTAAAGTACTACCTACTATCATATTCCCAAGCTCCATTATTTGATCATCACTTTATTTGTTCACCACAAATTATTTTAGTCCCTTTTATATTGTCTCCTTTATTTTAGCTTTAAAAAACTACCTTAGCTCATTATTTTTACATTTGTTAAATAATTCAGGTGCTATTTTTTTTAGCTTTAGAATATTTACCTTATTTTTTACTTAATTCTAACTATAGATTCACTACAAATCTTAATGATTACAAGCATTGATCCTGATACCAACCTCTTATTTAATGACTTAAATGATTCAAACAGTTACTGTAATTACTACACAGCAGAACAATCAAAGGCACTTCTCAGAGCTAACAACAACATAACTATCTTTAACTACAATATCAGATCTTTAAGCAAGCATTATGATGACCTCCTAGCATTACTAAATTCCTTGCATGCCAATATGTCCATCATTACACTAACTGAAACCTGGCTAAAGCCTGATACTACAGATGTCTATGCCATTCCTGGTTACACAGCCATACACAACTGTAGGCCAGACCAACAAGGGGGTGGCACTGCTATATACTACTCAGACCAACTAGAATGTATCACTAATACTTGCACAAGGGATGAACATGGGGAATATATAATAGCTAAATTCAAATCCAAATACCTACAAAAACCTCTCACAGTGATAAACATCTACAGAGTTCCACAATCAAACATTAGCCAATTTAGTCAAAACCTAGGAAGTATGATAACTGATGCACGCATGAACAAAGATCACTTACTACTCTCAGGTGACTTCAATATAAATCTCCTGCAAGACCAGGACCCACACGTTACTGAAGTCACAAACACAATGAGTAACTGCATGTTGCTACCAACAGTAACAAAACCTACAAGAGTTACAGAGACTAGTGTTTCCCTACTTGACCACATCTGGACCAACACCATATCCCCTTTAAAATCAGGAATAATTACAGATAATACCACCCTACTTTCCTTATAACAACTCTTGGTAAAATACCCCAAGACACTACTAAAGTCACCTTCAGACTTCACAATGAGGCAGCCATTAATAACTTAACAACAGCAGTAACAAACATTGACTGGCACACTGAGCTAGAAATCTATACAGATACTGACGAATGTTTTAATAATTTTCTAAAAAAGACCCAATACCTTTATAACAAGCACTGCCCTAAAAAAACTAAACAGATGACAGCTAAGAGACTGAACAGTCCCTGGCTAACACCCAGCATTCTCAAATCCATAAATACAAAACACCGATATGAAAAACAGTACAGAATGGGTCACATAACCAGAGACCAAACAAAACGTTACTCGTCAATCCTAACCAGCCTGATAAGAAGGGCAAAAAAATTGTATTATGAGAACAGATTATCCAACTTACAAGGTGATATAAAAAAGACCTGGAAGACCCTATCAGAAATTCTGGGAACAAAAAAGATATCACGACATAGCGAAATAAAATTAGCAAAATCAGATGAACCCCAACTCCCACCAACAGAAACAGCAAACAGACTCAATGATTTCTTCTCCACTATAGGTCAAAACCTTGCCAATAAAATCCCAAGCTCAGATACCCCACCAAATGACTACCTCACTGGCAACTACCCGAACACACTGTTCCTAGCTCCGACTAACCCATACGAAGTCTCCCTTATTATCAACGCACTGAAAAACAAGGCAGGAGATTTAAATACCTTACCACCCTTTATATACAAAAAAGCGTCACAAGTACTATCACCAATCATTGCAACACTCTTTAACAAATCCATTGAATCCTCCACCTTCCCTACAGTTCTCAAAATAGCAAGGGTCACCCCGTTCCATAAAGGAGGAGACCAAACAGAGTTGAATAACTATAGGCCAATATCCAATTTAACCCTCTCTCAAAAATCTTCGAAAAATTAATTCATAAACGAATCTACTCCTACCTCATCTCCCAAAACATTCTCAACCCCTGCCAATTTGGATTCAGGCCTAATAAAAATACTAATGATGCTATTATACACATGCTAGAACATATATACACTGCAATAGAGAAAAAAGAAGTCCCACTGGGGATCTTCATTGACTTACGTAAAGCTTTTGATACAGTTGACCATGACTTGCTCCACGTAAAATTGTCACACTATGGTATTAGAGGGCACTCCCTCAACTACCTCAAGTCTTACCTCAGCAACAGAAGCCAATATGTGTACGCAAATGGGGCAAGCTCTTCCGCATAACCAATTACAGTTGGTGTCCCACAGGGAAGTGTCCTTGGCCCTCTTCTCTTTCTCCTATACATAAATGACCTACCAAATGCTTCGCAATTACTCAAACCCACACTTTTTGCAGATGACACTACATACGTCTTCTCTCACCCGAGCCCAGTCACGCTAGCCAATACTGTAAACACCGAATTACAGAAAATATCTACCTGGATGAGGACTAACAAACTTACACTAAACATTGACAAAACCTACTTCATTCAGTTTGGTAACAGAGCTACAGATGTACCTCTTAACATAACAATAAACGGATCACCTATCACAAAGCTAACAGAGGGAAACTTCCTAGGAATCCACCTCGATAATAGACTCAAATTTCATACACATATACAACAAATTTCTAAGAAAATCTCCAAGACTGTAGGCATACTATCGAAGATACGGTACTATGTTCCACAGTTAGCCCTCCTGGCCCTTTATCACTCTCTTATTTACCCCTATCTCACCTATGGAATTTGTGCATGGGGCTCAACAACAAGTAACCATCTCAGACCACTAATTACCCAACAAAAGGCTGCAGTTAGAATGATAACAAATTCTCACTACAGGCAACACACTCCACCAATATTCAAAACACTCAACCTACTCACCATACAAAACATCCATACTTATTATTGCACCTATTACATACATAGAACACTTAACTATGATATTAACCCTCCCCTCAAACATCTCCTTGCCAACCTCAACAGAACACATGACCATAACACAAGGCACAGATCACTCTTTGATGTTCCTTGTGTCCATCTCACGCTATGCAAAAACTCAATGCACATAAAAGGCCCTAAAATCTGGAATTCATTACCTGTAAATATAAAAGAAACACTACCTGTTCATAAATTCAAGTCTCTTCTCAAAGATCACTTACTCACTCAAAACCAAATAAATACTGAATAACTGAACCTTATAAATTGTATATCCTATATGTTACTCACAATTATATCACACAAATGTTAAACCTAGGACCCAGTCTAACTTTATTATTTTTTTAAATACACTACCTAACATTCGACTGAATGTACAGCAATGCAAGCAACCATATGACCTGTCTTTGTAATACTCATTTGTGCTTTATAGTTATCTGTTTACAATAATGTTTTATCACTGATTTCATCATTGCTTAGTTAATCTTAAGTTAATTTTAAGCCAGCCCGTAATGCTATGCATATAAGTGGCTTTGGCATACTGCTCTTACCTGTATTTTTTGTACCTCTGTTTGTATGCTTAAAATATGCTTAAATTATTATTATTATCTACTACTACTACTACAGTACGTATTTAGTTTATTAAATTTTTCAGAAAAAATCAAATGATGTTGACAAATATAGGTTTATATTTCATGATTGAGATACACTACTGTATATTCAACAGGTTTCTGTGGCAGCAGATATGAAGTGAGAGATCTTCGTAGCTGGAGATGTCCCTGTATTAATGCTTGGCAGTAATGAAGACTTGAGATTAAGAATTATTGATCAATCAAGAGGTTAGCTGATGCAAGTTATCAGGGTTGACAAACTACCTTATAGTGTTCTCGAACTAATTGTAAGTAAGGAAGCCGTGCTAGATTATGTGATGGATTCTCTGGACATGGCTCAGCTTGACTTCTACTCAGAGCAGGTAAATAATTCATCCCTTCAGTGTCAAAAATGTATCGCTGAAGAAAGTGAAATGTGGTGGGACTCTTTCACAACTATGTTGGTGATGAAAGAAGTGATTGTGATGACTGTGGCCTGTGCACTAGGCTTAATATCCAACATCCTCGCTATTTATCTCGTGGCTGCCTCAAAGAAAGGGCTGCATCTCACTGCCAGTTATATCATCAACCGGGCTGTAGCTGATATTCTCTTCCTTTTAACTGTTCCGTATGATGTTCGAGCACACATGCAAGACTCTTGGGTGTTTGGTTCTTTATTATGTAAACTTCGTTCATCTCTCGTCATTATTGGCCCTATTGTAAGCTCAGTCTCCCTAATGGGTCTGAGTGGCAGCTGGTACATAGATACCTGCATGTCAGGAGTCTCAGCCAAGTTCCGTTCAAACTTGTTGAAGATAACTTCTGCCATGTCATGGATTACCCTCTTCCTCTTCAGTATACCAACATTTCTGCAGTCTGAGATTTTCAAAGAGGTTTTGCAAGAACGTTTCCATTGTGTGTCCCTACCCTTGTCAGAGGATTCACCCTTAAGCCAGGTCCTCAGGTTTCTTATCATATTATTGACTTTTGTTGTTCCATTTGTGATGTGCTGGGTGTTCATCAGCCTCATTATTCCTGCATACAAGAGTCAAACCTGCAAACCTCAAGAGCAGAACATTTCAGAAATGAACAAAGGGGAGTCATTGTACCCTTACAGACTGCTCGTGTCTCTGTTGGTGGTCTTCACAGCTTGTCAGGTGCCTTACTGGCTAGTGTACCTGGTGCAGGAATTTTTACAAGGAATTGAACTAAGTCATGTTGCATTGTTGGCCTTCCCAGCAACCTTGTGTCTTCCTAGCATTAATGCTGCCATCAACCCCTTAATGTGTATTTACTATTTGAAGGATCTTAAGAAGAGCCAGTGTAGAGCAAAGGAGACTGAGGAGGAGCCTCAGATGATAGCTCTTGTGCATCTTTGAATTGTGTTGACCTAACTTATCATACCACATTTTGATCATTCTCACCTAAAAAAAAAATCCCACTGCATTCCATTGTGTTCCTATTGTCACTTTAACCTAAACCGCTTTACTGTAATGTTTCATTTGTGCTACCTATTTGCCTACCATTGCAAAGCTATTGTCAAAAAACACCTTACCTTAATGTGAGCCTAAGGACAATCTGTTATGCCAAATAAATTCTGAAACCCTGTCTTTCATCCAATATTTTCTCTCTTTTTGTTCCATCCTTCCTCCAAGTCTCATTTATTACTAGAAAGTCATTCTTTGTATCAATTCTGGTACCTAGCTTTGTCCATGTATCTTTAATTAGATTTTTATATTGAATTACTGACTGTATACTTATTCTCATGTACTATATATATCTTATTGCCAAGTACAGTGGTACCTCAGGATACGAACTTAAATCATTCCAGAAGGCTGTTCTAGTGCCGATACCGAACAAATTTGTTCCCATAAGGAATAATGTGAATTAGATTAATCCGTTTCAAACCCCCAAAAATGCACTTACAAAAGCACTTACATAATTACACACATAATTGTTCGAGTTTTGAGCTGTTCGTATCCCCAGGTACCACTGTAATTATAAGTTAGTTTTAAGGCTTCCCAAAAAACCTTGCCAAACAAGGGGCTTTCTATAAAGTAGTTTATACATTTCAGTTGCCCTAATTGTATACTGTACAGAACTCCACTTCATAGAAATAAACTTGTTTGTTTATTATCTCTAGAGGAATACTACTTTACTATAGGAGAGTGGTACCGTCACTTATGATTTTTTTGCATTATGATGCTTTTTGCATTTATGACATTGGCATTTTTTGAACCCATTAATTACTTATGAACAAATGATTTCTGAACCTGTTAATTACTTATGAACAAGAGACTCAGTGTTCTGATATTTTGATTTGCATTTTTATTAGGTATGAATTACAAATGTTGTTTTCTCTGTAGATTTTTCAAAATGCATTCACACTTTGTGTGTACTTTTTTTTTTTTTTTTTTTTTTTGTAGAGATTATGTTAGTCAGTGGCTGGGTGGTAATACAGGGAGGTGGGTGGGTTGCCTGGGAGCCCTGGAGGTAGGTCCAGACTTCAGGCTGGTGGCATCTCACCCTCATAATGAAGATAAAGATGTTTATTTTGTTAAAATACAAAGGTTACATTGGATGGTTTCATAAATTGTATATTACAGTTACAGGTTGGTTACAGTTTTAGGTAAATCATATTATTACATATTCTAATACAAGCCCATTATTATGTAAAACATTTCAGATATGGTCAGCCTAGGAAAGGTTGGAGGGAGGGGGTGAAGGAGGTTTTGTGTGCGAGGGGCTTGGACTTCCAGCAAGCGTGCGTGAGCATGTTAGACAGGAGCGAATGGAGAGAAATGGTTTTTAGGACTTGACGTGCTGTTGGAGTGTAAACAGGTAACATTTATGAAGGGATTCAGGGAAACCAGCAGGCCGGACTTGAGTCCTGGAGATGGGAAGTACAGTGCCGGCACTCTGAAGGAGGGGTGTTAATGTTGTAGTTTTATAACTGTAGTGTAAGCATGCCTCTGGCAAGACAGTGATGGAGTGAATGATGATGAAAGTTTTTCTTTTTCAGGCCACCCTGCCTTGGTGGGAAACAGCTGATGTGTTAATAAATAATAAAAAAAAAATTCAGGCAGACTAATTCTAAATGGTTTTTAGGACTTCATATGCTGTTGGAGTGTGAGCAAGGTAACATTTATGAAGGGATTCAGGGAAACCGGCAGGCTGGACTTGAGTCCTGGAGATGGGAAGTACAGTGCCTGCACTCTGAAGGAGGGGTGTTAATGTTTAAGTTTTATAACTGTAGTGTAAGCACACTCTTGGCAAGACAGTGATTGAGTGAATGATGATGAAAGTTTTTCTTTTTCGGGCCACCCTGCCTTGGTTGGGAACAGCCGATGCGTTAATAAATATAGTAGACCATTATATTACATGGTAGTTATGTTCCTGAAAACGCCGTGTTAGGTAAAACCGTTAGATAAACTGAATAACTTGTGGGAAAAATAGGGTTCATTCCTGGGAGCCTCCAAAAAACCAAACAGCTTCTTTTTAGACCAACAGATCTTACAAGAAGAAAAGTGAATATAATTGTAGTTCATTGTCGTGATATATTATGTTTTTACTGCTTAACCCTTTCACTGTCGGGACCTCTGATTCTAAACTCTTGCTGTGTCAAAAAATATTCCAAAAAAAAAAAAAATTAATACCAAAATATTTAGAATATTTTTGTGAGTGTTTTAAGATAAAAACAAAATTTTGTGATCAGTACTTCCTGAGATATAAAGGCAAGAAATTGAAAGAAAGTGAACCACTTACAGCAACATCGGCGACTGCTGCTCACTCAGTAATGTTATTTTTACTTTTATTCTACTTTTTTCTTTAATTTTTTAATATTTGATTTTTTCAAGTAACTTTTGTGGCCTGTGAGACTAATACAGTGCATAATGTATATATATCCACTTATTGTATGCAACACAATAACCGCACAAACATTTTTATCATTATATTGTTGACAAACCCTGTTTACACAAACCCACGCTGCCTTCCCCGCCACTGACACAGCCTCCCCCACTACCCACACTGCCTTCCCCACCACCCATGCCATCTTTCCCACCACCCACATGGAAATACATGTATGTCACTTTGACTTTTTTGGGTTATCCTAGGTGATCTACACATACGCTGCTATGTTGTTTACACAAACTCACACTGCCTTCCCCACCACCAATGCTGCCTTCCCCACCATCGATGCTGCCTTCCCCACCACCCACATGGAAATAAGTCACTTTGACTTTTTTGGGTTATCCTAGGTACTTTACGCATATGGTGCTATGTTTACACAAACCCACGCTGCCTTCTCCACGACCCACACTGTCTTCCCCACCAACTATGCTGTCTTCCTCACCAACTGTGCTGTCTTCCTCACCACCCACATGGAAATAAGTCACTTTATCTGACTTTTTTAGTGGAAGGTTGATAATCGTCTGGGTTTTCAGCACTATTTCTGGTATCCTGGACATTGCTTTCTGTCACAAACTCCTCAGAATCATGAAATTCATCTTCACTGACACTTTAATCTGTGTTAGACCTATCACTTGGGAAGGGAAGAGTCCCAATTCACTGGAGAGTGAGGTATTCCTTACCACTAGGCTTGGTGACCAAGGCGTACTGAATTAGCACTCCCACAGTGCACTGCAGCCTCCCAGATTTTTTTCATACTGTGCACACTAGCACACAGACCCATTCTCTCACATGCAGGCCTACCAGCTTTCTCCCACCAGATCTGAAGCTGCTAGAAATTTGGCGCAGTATTATGGGACTGACACTGGCTTGCAAGCTGTAATATTACAGGACCTACAGTGAAAGGGTTAATAAGACTACAGATGCAACAGAAATAATAGTATTTCTTAACTTAAATTGTGGGTACTCGTGTTTGTGGATGATTGTGAATAGAGTGGAGATGCATGGTGTGGCCCTACTGGGCTGAGGTGGATGGTTGTTTGTTGTCGGCAGAAGTGGATGGTAGAGGTTCTGGTACTAAAGTCGATGGTTGTATTGGAGTGTGCATAAATTTTGTAATGGATGTCTGGGCTCTTTTACCTTGCAGTACATTATACAGCTGATAGTAAGGCATCATCAGCTAGTCTAGACCCCGTTTCAAAACACTGCTTTTAGATTTGTCAGGGTCCTCTTCAGTGAAAAAGTCTGCTAGTTTAGCAGCAACATGGAACTGCTCCTGTAACTGCTGCTCGGGTTCTTCTTCTGTTATGTGGCTCCCAACGTTTCCTCTGGACTCCTGTCTTCAGCATCATCATCTTCTAAGAGCTCATTCATATCTTCAAAACCATCACCTGGTAATCTCCTTGCCAGCTGAACAATTTCCTGAACCTGACTCTCAAGCAAGGGAAAACCAGTGAAAGAATTAACTACAGAAGGCCATAACTTTCCTCAGCCTGCATTTAATGTTGATTGGGGCACTTCACTCCATGCTGTTCTAGCATAGCTGATGGCATCTGCAATGTTAAATTTATTCCAGAAACTTGGTTCCGCCAGATTGGAGTCAGAGTCCATTGATGCAACTAGTTTCTTCATAACTTCTTTTGTGTAGTTACACTTTAATGCTTAATAACTCCCCAATAAAGTGGTTGTATTAAAGATGTTGTATTTGGAGGTAAACATTCAACTTTTACATTAGAGATATATCAGATATCTGCATCCACGGAACATCCGCACAATTTGTTACATCCGCATTTGACTGTAAACAGATATCCACATGTGCATCCACATTCTCAAAATAAGTAAGACAGACATCCTCATACACATCTGCATCTGCAGATATCTAAATTTTCACATCTGATGCATCTCTATTTTACATGTGGAGTCACATCCAGCAAAGCTTATGGATGAGTACAGGAATTATCAAGAATGAAGAGAGCCTTGAATGCAAGGTTGTTCTTGTGCAGGTAAAACTTGACTTCAGGAATAAAGTGGTGCTTAAACCAGTCAATAAATATTTCCTCTGTCATCCTCTGTCAGTCCTCTCCAGCAACAAGTTTTAGTTTTATTTACTTGTTGTAATCTATGTGTCATTATTTTCATGAGATGACATCCTGGGTTATTCATTACACGAGCTTGTATATTCACCTCATTCTTTTAATTGTACAAACTGATGCTTCATTAAGGCCATAGGCCCTCACTGTATCCACCACACCTGAGCCACTCATAAGCTTGTCTAATATCTCGATTTTCTTCGTAACTCCTAGACTTAAACCTTTTCTTGCTGTTTGCTATTGTGGTTATTTGGATTTATCTGAAGAAGGAAATTTTGGATCAGTTTTAGAGACCGAGTTTTCATAAATCTATAAATCTAGAATGGATATCAGGAGGTCTGCTGTATAACATTATGAACAATGGAAAATTTTTAGCACCATCATTAGGTTAGAACTTTGGAAGAAGTGCCAAAAGGATATTATTTGTAATATCGTCACAAAATCAAATCAAATCAAAGTTTATTCTCTATAAGGATTACAATGCGGGGTTTACAGATTTTGGTTATTGTGTGGTTTACATGTAATAAAATACTAATTACAGAGGGGGCCACTAGAACACCTAGTAAGGCTAGGCATTTTGGGCAAACTTAGATTAATTCTTAACCCTAAATTATTACAAATTGTGGAGTAAGTTGACTAAATACTAAATGACTAAATACTAAGTTACTAAATAGTAGTTTGTGAGTTCAGCAATGTGAATGCTTTTGTTTTGGCACAATACATAGTTTCTGTATTGGAGTATCGCAGACAAACTTGTGACTAGTTAGGAATCATTATTTTAAAATTAAGATACGTATTTCTGTGCTTATAGTCAAATGGGTGAGTGAGTGAGTGTAAGTGTGAACCACCAGGTGGTTTTTATGTAGTTAGTTGACGGGGTGTATCAGGGAGATAAGATGTTTTCTAACGGTAGTTTTGAAGGTGATGAATGTGTCTGCAGTTCTAGAGTTTTCAGGTAGGGTGTTCCAGATTTTAGGGCCTTTGACATATACATTGAATTTTTGTGTAGATTTAGTCGGACACGGGGAATGTCGTAGAGATGTTTGTGTCTGGTGTTATGCTTGTGGGTCCTGTCACAACTATCAAGAAAGCATTTTAGGTCAAGGTTAATATTGGAATTTAAGGTCCTGTATATGTAGATTGCACAGTAGTAAGTGTGGATGTGCTGAACAGGGAGTAAGTTTAGATCTATGAAGAGTGGGGGGAAGGGGGCGTTGCCAGGGATGGGATTTAGTAATTATTCTTACTGCGGCTTTTTGTTGAGTTATTATTGCTTTAGGTGTATTGCTGCAGTTGAACCCCAAGCACAAATAGCATAGGTGAGGTATGGATAAATGAGTGAATGGTATAGTGTGAGAAGGGCATTTTGCAGCACGTAGTATCGTATCTTGGAGAGGATCCCAACTGTTTTGGATACTTTTTTTGATATGTGTTGGATATGGGTGCTGAAATTCAGGTTGTTGTTGAGGTATAGGCCTAGGAATTTGCCCTCATTATGTCTGACAATTAGAGTGCTGTCAATCTTAATGTTTAGTTGTGCAGCACCTGCTCTGCTACCAAACATAATATAGTAGGTTTTGTCAGTGTTAAGTGTAAGTTTATTGGCTGTTATCCAAGTTGATATTTTGAGCAGCTCCTCATTAACAATGGTGTTGAGGGTGGCAAGATTAGGGTAAGAGATGACATAAGTCATGTTGTCAGCAAAGAGAATGGGATTCAGGTGTTGGGATACGTTTGGAAGATCATTGATGTAAATGAGGAAGAGCAGGGGTCCAAGGACACTTCCCTGTGGAACTCCAGTATCAAGTGGCCATGTTGATGATGCTGTGTCTTTAATGGTGACATACTGATACCTATTAGTAAGATAGGATTTTAAATATGCAAGCGCATGGCCTCTTATACCATAATGGTCAAGTTTGTGGAGTAGGATGCCGTGGTCTGCTGTGTCAAAAGCTTTTCTTAGGTCAATAAAAATTCCTAGTGGAAATGGTAGACCAGTGAAATGGGTTACAAGGTGAAAGTAATAAGTGCTATAACGACTGGAATTTATAAAAATAGATACGATAGATTCTATACTAAAGACAGTTTAATGATCATAGCTCTACACCTAAGTTAGAAATACAGTATATTTTTAATAGATACTGTAATCACCAGTGCAACCTTGCAATACATGACAGCACAGGTAATTGAGGTTTCCAGTATTTTAGAGCTTTATATATAGTCTTCAGTAAAATTATGAGCAGTATTTAGTAATTCTGTCTTGAATCTTTTATTATGTTAACAGTATCTGCCTTATCCTGTTATTAACTGATGAATTGTAACATAGTATTTTTTTAAGTAAATGATTAAATATTTGTGACTGCTGTACCTAATTAAGTCTTGTCAGTTTTCTAACCCTTTCACTGTCAAGACTCTTGATCCTGAACACACTCCCAGTGTCGAAGAATTAAAAAAAAAAAAAAAAAAATTTATGAAATGATAGAGAATCTTTTCCCAATGGTAATGACACCAAAAGTACAAATTTGATGGAAAACTTACGGAATTACGCTCTCGTGAAGTTAGCGGTCTCAGTGTATATGCATCGGCGTTTTTGTCCACTCTGAGCCCCATTTTCAGCCAATTCCATCATTCCAGTCGACCAAACTCATAGCTATTTCATTAGAACTCCATTTGTTCTATCAACTGGGTACAAGAAACCACCCATTTATGAATTTCAGCTACCCAGAAAAGTGGTCAGAAATTGGCAATTTGGCCAATTTCATGCAAATTTCAAAAGATGCCAATTTCAAAATAGGGTCCAGAATAAACAATGCAGACATTTCTGGCACTAAAATACCATTTTCTCTGTCCATTAGTCACATCTCGAGGCCCCTCTTATATTCTACTCTTGCCTTCCATTTTGAATTTTTAATCACACAAAAATTAGAAGATTTACTGTTATGCAGACTACTGCATTATCATATAATTGTATAAATAATATCAACCCATTTGTGACTGTGTATTAGACTGGCCAGTTGGACACATATTGGACACATTTGTTTACTCTTGAACATCGGCAAAAATTGAACATTTCCGCTACTTTGAGCTCAATTTCAAGGTACTTTTCATCGTGAAACCGATCAAAATCATCTCTATTTCTGTAATATATCTTCCATTCCATCAAATGAGACCAAGAACATGAGAATACAACCATAAATACCATATGAAAATACACCTCAAATTCGGCATTTTAATCCCAAGCCATTATGCACTGCTTGCTGCAGGATTTTTTATACTGCGCACACTGACCATGCAGACCCATTCTCTCACATGTAGGTCTACCAGCTTTTTCCTGCTAGATGTGAAGCCGCTAGAATTTTTGAGTATTAATACATCACCAATACTGGGTCGTAAGACATATCTATACGGCACCAACATTGAAAGGGTTAAAGTTTCCAGTGGTTTTAGCACTAAGTACCTCATGTTGTATAACATTCCATTGTTCTACCACTCTGCAAGCAAAAACCTCTTAATATTCTTTCAGCCGATTTTCTTCTTTAGTAGTTAATGGGGTTAGGAAGTCTTTCTTGTCCATCCTGTCATATGTTCATGTGCTCTTGTGTCTGCATTTATGTGTGTTTATACATATTTGTGAAAATGATGAGACAGCATAACTTGACACACAAAAATGGACAACCCAAAATGGTAAAACATACCAACAAGTACTATATGAATAAGATGCACTATGCATGACCCACGAAATCATTATGACACGATTGCAAACAAAACGTACCACGGGCGGGGATAGAACCCGCGATCAGAGAGTCTCAAAACTCCAGACCGTCGCGTTAGCCACTGGACCAGCTAGCCACAATAAGATTCGTCCAACTAGGTATATTTCTACACCATAGGAAGGTTAGCATAGGCACCACTGTGACCACAAATGCATTTGTGGTCACAGTGGTGCCTATGGAGTCTGGAGTTTTGAGACTCTCTGATCGCGGGTTCTATCCCCGCCCGTGGTATGGTTTTTTTATGCACTATGCAGTTTGGCATTTACTCATTCCATTCAAAAGTGTCCATACAATTAATCTTGACACCCTAATTGTAAGTGACTGTCATCCCTTATCACTTTAAATATCTCTTATAGTATCAGAAACCAGACAGATATGGCAAAACTATGAACATTGGAATCAGAATCCACCAATGAGTTGGCATGAATGTATACTATCAATAAGGGAGTCCATAATGTTAATGTGTTTGTATCTGAGACTAAAGGAAGAAATTAAGAAAGAGCACTAAGTACAGAAATTTTGTGGAGAGTGAGTAATTGTACTGTAGTGAGAGTGAGTATAGTAGGGCCCCACTTTACGGAATTCCACTAATACGGCAATTTCAGATTATGACCAAAATTTGCTATATGGCGAGTGGTCTTTCAAATACGGCACGCCCCACCCAGTTTGTTTACATTCTCCATGACCACATCTCTATTATGTCTGGAAATTTTCCAGAATTTCAAGTGTTTTAAAGTTATTGCATATTTTATATATACTCTCATAATTATACTTTTGTGTACCTGTACCTACATATGGCCTCTCCTCATTTAGCGATGAAGTTTCATTCCTAAGACCACGTTGGTAAACGAATTCATCGCTAAGTGAGGAGCATACTACAATGGTAGTGGGTTTGTGTCAACCATCTTTGATATTGTTTTAATGTCACCTTTGCACCATTTATAACATTTCTGGTATAGTTTTAAATGTTTTTTCAGTAACGTACTGTATATTGTAATAATCAGACTAGAGGAAATCAGCTCTAATATACAGTGGACCCTCGACCAACGATGGCATCGTAAACATTAAATCTGACTAGCAATACATTTTAACGCAAAATTTTTGTCTCGACTAGCGCTAAAAAACTCGACCAACGCCATTCGTTCCGTTCGAGTTGCATCCACGTGTGGCCTGCTCAGTGTTTACAAGCCAGCCACCGCGGTCGCATCCAAACATACAATCGGAACATTTCATATTATCACAGCGTTTTTAGTGATTGCACCTGCAAAATAAGTCACCATGGGCCCCAAGAAAGCTTCTAGTGCCATCCCTGTGATAAAAAGGGTGAGAATTAGTATGGAAATTAAGAAAGATTTTGAAGGGTTTGGGGCTAACCCTGAGATGCCTATGCCACTTGTGGAATCTATTGTGCCTACTTCAAAGATTAAGGAAATGTGTGCAAAGTGGGTTGAACTGCAAACCTTTATGGATGAAAATCACCCTAACACAGCTATTGCAAACCGTGCTGGTGACTATTACAATGACAATGTTGTGGCCCATTTTAGACAAATCGTAAAGGAACGGGAGGTACAGAGCTCTATGGACAGATATGTTGTGTGACAGAGGTCCAGTGACTCTCAAGCTGGTCCTAGTGGCATTAAAAGAAGAGGGGAAGTAACCCCGGAAAAGGACTTGACACCTCAAGTCCAAATGGAAAGGGATTCCCCTTCTAAACACTAACACCATCCACACTCTCCCCTCCTCCCATCCCATCAATCATCACCAGATCTTCAATAAAGGTAAGTGTCATGTAATTGTACATGTCTTCTTCAGTTTGTGTGTATTAAAATTAATATTTCTGTGGTAAAATTTTTTTTTTTCAATACTTTGGGGTGTTAGGAACGGATTAATTTGATTTCCATTATTTCTTATGGGGAAAATTAACTTGACTAACGATAATTTCGACTAACGATGAGCTCTCAGGAACGGATTAATATCGTTGGTCGAGGGTTCACTGTACATTATTTAGGTGTGCATACTAGTCGGAGAGTCAGTCGTAAGTCCGAGTTGTCAGTAAACAAGTACGTCACTAAGTGAGGAGAGGCTATATACTTACTGTGCTGGCGTGCAGGTACACTTTAAAATCACTAAGAGTCTCTATACTCGGTGCCATATAATAATCTCTTGGGCGTATTACATGTCGTATATTATGTTAATATAGACATTTCCATTAATCCATCTATCATATTTTTTTCAAAATTATATAATAAACATGCTGCATAACATATAAACATGATACATACACCCACAGTATAAAAATGATAAATATGAGATTTGTTTACAAAGCGGTTGATAGGCGTGTCGGAAGAATTACATTTTCTCTAGTCAACCACCAGTTACTTAACTGAAGAAAAATATTCCTTTCGTATGCCTTCTGTCTACAGCTATTCATGACCTATGTGGGTTTAGTGCTTCTTTTTTATTATTATAATAACAGTAACTTGTAATAATAATAATTTGTAATAATAATAATCACTCTTAGTAAGTAAGTTTATTCAGGTATACATAAATTTATTTATTTATTAATTTGAACATGATACAGAGAAGTACAAAGGAATACAGCTATTAAAGTGCAACATGACAAAGCCCCTTGTATGCAGAGCATTATGGGCAGGCTTAAAATTAACTTAAGATTAACTAAGCAATGATATATTCAGCGGTAAAAACATTATTGTAAACAGATAACAATTTAGCACAAATAAGTATTACAAAGACAGGTCATATGGTCATTAACTGTGTTGCTGTGCATTCAGTAGAATGGAGTACAGTGGACCCCCGCATAACGATCACCTCCCAATGCAACCAATTATGTAAGTGTATTTATGTAAGTGCGTTTGTACGTGTATGTTTGAGGGTCTGAAATGGACTAATCTACTTCACAATATTCCTTATGGGAACAAATTCGATCAGTACTGGCACCTGAACATACTTCTGGAATGAAAAAATATTGTTAACCGGGGGTCCACTGTATTCTGTTAGGTAATGTAATTAAAAAATAACAAGTTTGATTGGGTCACAGGTTAGACATTTATGAGATACAATAATGAGAAACATTTATGAGATACAATTATTCAGTATTTATTTAGTTGTGGGTGAGTAAGTGATTTTTGAGAAGAGACTTGAATTTATAAACAGACAGTGTTTCTTTTATATTCACAGGTAATGAATTCCAGATTTTAGGGCCTTTTATGTTCATTGAGTTTTTGCATAGCGCGAGATGGACACGAGGAACATCAAAGAGTGATCTGTGCCTTGTGTTATGGTCATGTATTCTGTTGAGGTTGGTAAGGAGATGTTTGAGGGGAGGGTTTTTGTCAGAGTTAAGTGTTTTATGTATGTAGTAGGTGCAGTAATAAATATGGATGTTTTGTATGGTGAGTAGGTTTAGAGTTTTGAATATTGGTGGAGTTTGCTGCCTGTATTGGGAATTTTTATCATTCTGACCGCAGCCTTTTGTTGGGTAATTAGTCGTCTGAGATGATCTATTGTTGTTGAGCCCCATGCATAAATTCCATAGGTGAGATAGGGGTAAATAAGTGAGTGATATAGGGCCAGGAGGACTGACTGTGGAACATAGTACCGTATCTTCGATAGTATGCCTACGGTCTTGGAAATTTTTTTGGAAATGTGTTGTATATGTGTTCGAAATTTGAGTCTATTATCAAGGTGGATTCCTAAGAATTTTCCCTCTGTGAGTTTTGTGATAGGTGATCCATTTATCATTATATTAAGAGGGACATCTGACGCTCCGTTACCAAACTGAATGAAGTAGGTTTTGTCAATGTTTAGAGTGAGTTTGTTAGTCTTCATCCAGGTAGATATTTTCTGTTACATAGTTACATAGATTATCATACATAGCAACATATGTGTAGGGAACCCAGGATAACCCAAAAAAGTCAGAGAGTGAGGCGCATTAACCTTTAAACTGTCCAAACGTAGATCTACGTTTGCATGCTCCAAACGTAGATCAACGTTTTATTTTTCATCCCTTCAAATTTGGCACAATAGGCTTGAGTCGCCTAGACATGAAAGAATGGGTCTGTGCACTCAGTGTGTGCACTATTAAAAAATCTGGGAGCACTTAGTACCTTGTGGGAGCACCAGCTAGAGCAAATAGCGTGGCAAACACCAGGGATTCACTGATACCATGTCACATTAACACTCCCAATTTAAGAGGAAAGTAAAAATAGGTTAGATAAATACATGAGTGAGTGTGAGTTGGACCTGACTAGCTTGTGCTACTAGGTCTGATGTCATGCTCCTTCCTTCAATGGATGTGACCTGACTAGGTGGGTCATTGGTCTAAGCTGGGGGGGGACATGTACCTGCCTTGCATGGCCCAGTAGGCCTGCTGCAGTGTTCCTCCTTTCTTTTGTTCTCATGTATTCGGCAGGCTGGCCAGCTGGCTTGCTTTGGCTGTCTCTCTGTCTATATCTATGTGAGAGTGAGTACTGTACAGCAGTGAGAGTGAGTACTGTACAGCAGTGAGAGTGAGTGCTGTACAGCAGTGAGAGTGAGTACTATACAGCAGTGAGAGTGAGTGCTGTACAGCAGTGAAAGTGAGTGCTGTACAGCAGTGAGAGTGAGTACTATACAGCAGTGAGAGTGAGTATTGTACAGCAGTGAGAGTGAGTACCATACAACAGTGAGAGTGAGTACTGTACAGCAGTGAGAGCGAGTACTGTAAAACAGTGAGAGTGAGCACTGTACAGCAGTGAGAATAAGTACTATACAACAGTGAGAGTGAGTACTGTACAGCAGTGAGAGTGAGTACTGTAAAACAGTGAGAGTGAGTACTGTACAGCAGTGAGAATAAGTACTATACAACAGTGAGAGTGAGTACTATACAACAGTGAGAGTGAGTACTGTAAAACAGTGAGTGAGCACTGTACAGCAGTGAGAGTACTGTACAGCAGTGAGTGAGTACTGTACAACAGTGAGAGTGAGCACTGTACAGCAGTGAGAGTGAGTACTGTACAGCAGTGAGAGTGAGCACTGTACAGCAGTGAGAGTGAGTACTGTACAGCAGTGAGAGTGAGCACTGTACAGCAGTGAGAGTGAGTACTGTACAGCAGTGAGTAAGTACTGTACAGCAGTGAGAGTGAGTACTATACAACAGTGAGAGTGAGTACTGTACAGCTGAGTGAGTACTGTACAGCAGTGAGAGTGAGTACTGTAAAACAGTGAGAGTGAGCACTGTACAGCAGTGAGAGTGAGTACTGTACAGCAGTGAGAGTGAGTACTGTACAGCAGTGAGTGAGTACTGTACAGCAGTGAGAGTGAGTACTATACAACAGTGAGAGTGAGTACTATACAACAGTGAGAGTGAGTACTGTACAGCATCGAGTGAGTACTGTACAGCAGTGAGAGTGAGTACTATACAACAGTGAGAGTGAGTACTGTACAGCAGTGAGAGTGAGTACTATACAACAGTGAGAGTGAGTACTGTACAGCAGTGAGAGCGAGTACTGTACAGCAGTGAGAGTGAGTACTGTACAGCAGTGAGAGTGAGTACTATACAACAGTGAGAGTGAGTACTGTACAGCAGTGAGAGTGAGTACTGTACAGCAGTGAGAGTGAGTACTATACAACAGTGAGAGTGAGTACTGTACAGCAGTGAGAGCGAGTACTGTACAGCAGTGAGAGCGAGTACTGTACAGCAGTGAGAGCGAGTACTGTACAGCAGTGAGAGCGAGTACTGTACAGCAGTGAGAGCGAGTACTGTACAACAGTGAGAGTGAGTACTGTACAGCAGTGAGAGTGAGTACTGTACAGCAGTGAGAGCGAGTACTGTACAGCAGTGGGAGCGAGTACTGTACAGCAGTGAGAGCGAGTACTGTACAGCAGTGAGAGCGAGTACTGTACAACAGTGAGAGTGAGTACTGTACAGCAGTATCAGTAACACACAGGCTGTCCATCTTGCTAACATGGTGTTTTATTTCCTGTTAACCATAAAGTTGGATGTATTTTAATTTTGTTTTTACAGTTTGGGTATAATTCTTATTAATATGTTAAACTGTTTGTGTGTTACGGTAAATCATTGTGTTTGTACAATGCTGTATTTGAAGTTCAGTGTTTTAAAATACGTAGTTATTTTTATTAATTAGGTATATACAGTGGAACCTCTACTTGCGAGCGTGTCCACGTGCGAGTTTTTCCAAATACGAGCAGTCGATGAGCCGATTTTTTGCTTCCATACACGAGCAAAATTTCCACGAGCGAGCAGACCTCAAGGCAGGTTCCTTGACACTGATGAGGGGCTCTTGCTCTTGATCTCGGGAATTGTATCTCATTTGTTTGTTGGACTATCTTATTGAAACTTGGGCAATATATGATGGAAAGATGCTTCTTAATGTACACCAAAAATGAAAGAAATCTAAGCATAAATAATGGAGTTCACTTCCCAGCAATTAGCCACCCCATAGTGGTAATTTTGAATGGTTTTTATGGTTGTAAACTCTCGTCCACCGCCGACACCGCCCATACCACTACATGAATGACATATTTTATTCATTCTAGAATATATATCTTGTTTCTATGTTATTCATATTGTTTGTTATGTCATACTAGATGAACTGTGATAGATAAATAAGCTGTATAGATGATATTAGCGAAATTATTCATGAAGTATTTTGCCCAGTCTCCAGACAAACTCTTGTCCACCGCCGACACCTCCCATACCACTACATGAATGACATATTTTATTCATTTTAGAGTATATATCAGGTTTCTATGTTATTTATATTGTTTATTATGTCATATTAGATGAACTGAGATAGATAAATAAGCTGTAGAGTTGATATTAGCGAAATTATTAAAGTACAGAATTCCACTGGAACGGATTAATTGCATTTCAATTAATTTAAATGAGGAAAATTGATTCTGCAAATGAGCAAATCCAGTTGCGAGCAAGGTCATGGAACGGATTAAACTCGCAAGTAGAGGTTCCACTGTATACTGTACTGCATTTTATCTTATTTGTGTACTATTATTTGTAACATTTAGAATAATTGACAGTATGACTTGTAGCTGTTATTATTGCAGTATTAATGTATTATCAGTATTGTGTTGGTTAATATACAAAATTATAATTTTTTTGTAGGTACTGTAATTGGTTAGCATATTAATTGTTTTGTATATTGTACTTTTAGTTATGTTTGTATTAGTACAGTATTAGTCTTTTTTCACTGAGTTGACATCAGTTTCTTTACACAGAGTGTTCTTGTGTTCAGAAAACCTTTACTCAGTATAATAATAGAATTTTATTTTGCTATTGTATATACCTGCAACAAGGTCATCTTAATATACTTCTGGTAGGTACTTTATTGAAAAAATTGTTCCTATACTACCAGCATTGTTTATCCTAAGTCTCCTGGGTGCATATTTCCAAGGTCAAAATCTACATCAGTTCCTAGATTAAAAGCTTTAAATTTTGGTGTTTATAAAACTTCTGGTATTCCAGCATTTTCTTGGCTGATATGCCTTTTGTTTTATATTTGTTGAGGAGTATTTTTGAGCACAAGAGTGAGTTGCTTTTGTATTATAGGTTTATTGGTTTTCTTTTGGTGAGAAGAGAGTGTGTGTTAAGCATTTTAATAATTTTTGTTGATGGTGCATGCTCTGGTGAAACCACCTTGGGTAGATCAGTTATTGTATAAATTTCTTTTAGTGTAGTCCTAAAAGAGTTCGGTGCATGTTTGATTATATTCAGTATCTTGATGGGATACTTTCCATCAGTGTGTAGCATTGGTGTTAGTTCTGGGGATGGTGAAGTGGATGTTTTTAAAATAGATTAGGTATTTTACTGAAATATGACACAGTAAATAAACCCAAGATATTTTGTAATGAATGACTGTCATTCATTATGACTTATCTTGGGTTTATGGACTACATACTTAACTTGGAGAGCTATGAGAATAGATGTACTGTACCAAGAAAACTGTCAGGGCAGGAGATGGGACAGTAGTGTCACATGACAGCAGCTAATACAACCACGACAGAGGTACTAGTTGTAAAAATCATCCTGTTGTAACATTCATGGCCGAGTGGTACAGTGCAGGTCCTGCCACACAGGATCTCAATTTGAATCTCTGTTCAATTTTCTGTTTATTCATGACATGGTAATAAAAGCATACCCACACTTAAAAGACTGAGACTTACGATATATTTTGGGTTTGGGTCGGCTTTTGGTCCAAGTTGTACCAAAATGTTGTAATAGGTTTCAGTCTCCTAAGTACTGGTTATTTGTGTACTGTTCCAGCCACAATATTGTGACTGTTCTTTGTGACAGTAATTGTAGCAGACATTGTGTTGCTGGTTGTTGTTTCATTTATACTTTTGAAGATTTATCTAAATGGGTATTTAGGCTCTCTTGCAGCCTATAAAAGTGTGTCCTTCCCTGTTGCAATACTTTATTGTTTTATTGAAGGCTGTTAGGTATCTGATATTCAGTCATATTTCTAAAATTTGCAGCATGGTGCCATGCTCTATAATTTGTCTTATTCTCCATTGTTTAGGTCTACAGTTTATAGTAGGGAGATGCAAATTCCATCTTTGTTTTTTTTTTCCTTGCGCTATAAATATCTCTTCAAATTTTTTCTCCCAAATTGATAGTAATTTTAGCTGCTGCCACCTCCTCCTCCTCCTCCTCCTTATTATTAACTTAAAAAAAAATTACTAAATCCACTAGTTAAAGAGTGCCATTAACCTGATTATTACTTCCTCCACACTAGTCCATTCATTTTTATCTGTAATCAGCATTTGATCATTTACTGCTTTTTTATAATAGAATTGCCAAGGCCTTTAATCATTTTATTGTTCAGCCTAAAGTTCTGGAGGTATACTGTATATAGGTAATTACTTCACTTGGTAATGATTATGTGAACACTGGTGTCACTAAAGCATAGGATGGTAAAAGGATTAAGGAATCAAATCTTGAGGTCTATTCTTACCATGGTGGCTAACTTGTTTACTTAGTTTCTGTGAGGAAGATCTTACTTCCAGTAACTAGCAGTTTATAGCTTATATCTACAGTTTACTTAGCTGTTGCAAGCAAATTTGCTTGCAACAAATAAGTGATCTGTAGATTTAAATCTAGATGTATTCCTGTAAACCCTTTCAGTGATTAGTTGTTTATGGCTATTCTCCGATGACTTGCCTGTCTATAGCTTGTCTCTAGTGACGAGCCAATGACTCACCACTGATATTCTAAACAGTTAATAATATACTTAGTGTTTTATTAAAAAAATACATACTTTA